AAGAGATGCCTGGAAGAAACTCTGAAACAAAGTGGAGCCACACACCAAAACAAAGTTTGCATAAATCATATCAAAATATAAACAAGACAAAGCAACTAAAAACCATTTTAAAACATAATCATATCAGCGCCAGAATAGCGGACTAATTAACTAAACGCCACAACAATCCTCAACAGGAACACAAAATGCGACATTCACATTTTTGTATTAGAATAATAATTAAATAGCTCCCCAGCCCCTTACATTAAAACGTTTTTTTATGCATTTTTTTTCAAATTTTTATTATATTTAGTGGACAATAAATATTGTTCAATCAAATTTAGCTTAAGTTTTGCAAAAGTAAAAAGATTAGTCTTATCTCCCTCTTCTATGAATTAGAATCGTCCAACACATGTTGTACAAGTACATTAACATAAATTAGCCTAAGTGGTGAAAATACAGTTAGGCAGTTAACAAACTATTAATTTATCTGTTCGCTACTGGCGAGGCTAAGAAAGGATTGGAACTTGAAGGAGAAAACAAAGTGTCGACGTACGTCAACATCAACAGTGTCGAGTTTTCCCGGTCGTCAGTAAGATAGACTTAGTCGCTGCTACATTTCTAAGCGCAATTTTAAAGCTTGCTTGCAAAAGTTAAGGCTACATGGTAGTAGGCCATATCCAAAAGGCCGGAAAAAGTAAAGCCGACAAAGATAAAAAACATATCGCAAATTTTGTGTTACTACTTAGATTAACTCCGGACAACTATCAAAGAATGAAATCAAAAGCCGCGGCATCATCGCCCAGTCTGGCAAAACGCCACAGACAATGGCTGTTGCTATCCTTATGAGGTGAATAATTGAATCCATTTGACTAGAGTTGAGGGGAATGTCTTAAACAAAAGATAAATGTAATAGATTGAGATAATTGTGAGGTCAAGGGAACTCACTCTTCTGTATTAGTATTATATTTATATTGTTATCTTGAGTGATGTCCCTTGTGCATTGTACTTCCTTCCTCTTTCCTTCATGGCTGTAAATAAAGACTGTTAACAACCAATGTGGCTCCTCGTCAGTGACTACAATCTATCACAATAAACATGTAGGTGGCACTATTACCAATATTTTTTACGGAGAAATAGAAGAAATTAAATAAATTAGGCTGATCACCTGCATTGTCCGATATAGGTTATATGTTAAATACTGACAAGGTTAGAAATTATACTCAAGTTTCATACAATGCGGATTATTTTAAACAAGTTGTATGGGTACTACCTTCGTTTCATTGTGACAAAACTTATTTTAGGAAATACAATTGATATTAAACCCCAGTTTAACTTGTATAAATAGTAAACATATTTGATAACATGAAGTCTCATTTAATGAAATATATTGCTTCTGAATTAAATATAAAATCTGCATTGTTTACAGGGGGGAATGGGGAGGGGAAGGGGGGTCATCGCTATAATACTTAACTTCATCAAAATATATATTTTTAAAAATAAATAATAAACATTTATGTAATTGAAGTTTTTTTAAAAAGTCGGCTTTATGTTTATTCGGCTTTTTCGATGTGGGCCGTATAGTTTATCAGCCTTATGCCCGGTTGGCCTTTTTATGTCTACCTTTTAGATGTCAGTCTTTTTTCCTTTTGGTTTAATTTACAGTCGGTATTTAGTCCATATCGGCCTTTAGTCCAGATCCCTCAAGTTACGGTTTTACACTTATACACACACAAAATAACAAAATGTGTATATTCGATAAATGGAAGTATTGAAAGTCCAGATTTGTTAAAATCTCGCTTTCTATTTTTTGCACTATCTGTCGGTTCATGAGAAGAAATAAATTGATTAGCTGTTCTAAAACATTGTATAGTTTGATAACGATTGATTTAAATAAGGACAATTTAATTTAAAACATACAATAAAGCAATCTTATCAGCTTTAATTTAGTTTATAAAGTCTGTTTGTTTGTTTGTGAAATGTAACAAATCTTGTAATTCAACTTTGACCCACTTCTAATGATTTTGTTCAAAATTTCTATGTGTATTCGTCTCCAAAGACAGTCCAAGAATATGTAATTTTAAATCTAAGTAGGCATTAATTAAGACAACTAGTCTTTAAAATGTATTCGAAAGATTACTAAATTAAAAAAATAAAGAGGCGATAAAAAGGTTAAAAACTTGCGATTTGCTTTTTTAAATAAAAAGCTTTTGTCACAAAAATATATGAGATTTCATGAGCGACCAATGCTTTTATAATAGAAAGAAAGTTCTAATTTTCAGAGCATTTAAAAGCTATTGTTTTAAAGCTTTTTTATATTTGTTTTTTTCTCTCAATGTTGTGATCAAGAATATAAATTCACTTGTTTTTTTTTTAATTAAGATGACGTGATAGAAAATAAATGTTCGCTGAGCGGCTACCGGCGAATGGATGCGGACTATGGAGTTCTAACAACTCCAGTCAGCCAAAAAGAAAGACGGCCTTTAAATCGTCCCTGTCGGTGGTCCATCACTGGAGGTGGTCTGCTGGCTTTAACTATTCACTATTTAGGCGTTAAGACGTCGACATGCGAGCAGGTTTTGAAAATCAACTACACAGATTGTGGCTTACAGTTAGCTGTAACTAGAAGCTTTTGTAAACTTGAACATGCAACTTTTAAGTCTTGTGGAGAGGTTACGATAAGCAGTCGTGAAATGCGAGTGGAAGGGTCAATGGAGAGATTCATTATTTCTTACCATAGTAAGTGTCAAACATTGAAAACCATAGATAAATTAATTTTTTGAGTCAGAGAAAGTGAGATGTATCGTAATCCCATTACTTTAGATTGAGGCCTTAGATCTTTTCATATGTCACCAGGATATTTTGACAGAGCTTTACCCCAGCCACCAGAAAGACATTCATGTTCTGTACCATCAGCTGATGATGTAACACGGCCACCAGGGGTCATACATCGCGGATCACCAGAAGGTATTTTAAAACCCAAATCAGGAGAAAATGTAACTTTAATGCTTACAAATGATGGTAGTCTACATTAAAAATGTCTTCTTTTTCAGATAAATCTGTCAATTTGACAAAAAAGCTTAGTAAGTATCTTAATAATTTATTATATTTCCAAATGTTTATAATATTAGAGGTCAATGGAGGGGGTTAATTCCTACCAACTCATATAAGTCTGGATACATTCTGGAAGGTGGAAACTTTTGAACAGTTTCGACAAAAGACTTTTATTTTATCCACAGAGCTGCTCATTGTGTACGTTGTTTTTGGGGTAATCATCCTTGTTCTGCTCGTGGCTTTGATAGCAGTCATCATTAGGTCAGCTACCAACATTCAAGTAGTGGTGGTTTTACTCATTTAACAAAATAAAAACCAGATTCATCAAAACAACAACAACAATAGCATTGCACTCACCCGAACTACATAAACTATAAGCTAGCTCCAGCATAAGAAGATTGGTCTTGTATAAACACAGTGTTCTTATCCACAGCTACTGTAGACTCCCCAAGTCTGAAACGTGTGCCAAAGAAATATCTGAGACCACAGTTCTGTGGCGCAACACACCACTTGAAACATTTCAGACAAACAATTTTCTGGACGGGCCCATACTTTCCCACCAAACTTATACAACAAAGCACGGCACGCAACAAGTAAGGCTATGGTTATTATAATATTAACAAAACACAAAGGTTGTGGTCAACGGTTGATATTAATATAAAAAATAAATAGCTATAGCGATATATTACTTAGCACACTGTTTTGTATGCTCTCGGTGTCGGGAAAAGGCAATGACGTGAGGGGGGGGCGGGGAAGGGGGGGGGGCAAAGATCTCAGCCATATTGTAATACGGCTTTGATATGTGCGTAGAGGGGTGGGGGGGGGCAAAGATCTCAGCCATATTGTAATACGGCTTTGATATGTGCGTACCCCTAACCCTAACCCAAAGATCTCAGCCATATTGTAATACGGCTTTGATATGTGCGTACCCATAACCCTAACCCTAACTCAGCCATATTGTAATACGGCTTTGATATGTGCGTACCCCTGACCCTAACCCTAAGATCTCAGCCATATTGTAATACGGCTTTGATATGTGCGTACCCATAACCCTAACCCTAACTCAGCCATATTGTAATACGGCTTTGATATGTGCGTACCCCTAACCCTAACCTCTTCTGGGACATAGGCCGCTGACAAGAGCTTTCTGTCCCAAGATGTATCCAATCTTCTTGGTGTCTTCCTTTAAGTTATGTCTCAAGGTCTTTCTTGGTCTTTCTTGGTCTTTCTTGGTCTTTCTTGGTCTGCCTCTATTCCTTTTGCCCTGTGGATTCCAGGTGAGGGCCTGTCTTGCTATGTCGGATATAGGCTTCCTGAGTGTGTGAGCCCTCTATTTCTATTTTCTCTGGAGGATCTCTTCTCTTCTAGCAGTTGGTTTTAATCCAAGGGTTAAATCTCCAGAACCCCAAATACTTTTTAGTTAGTTCAAAACTGCTCTTGCCTTGCCCGTCCTTATTTTTATGTCTGCTTCTATCCCGCCCTGATTATCAACAATACTTCCAAGGCACGTGAATCTATCCACTTCTACTATGTCTTCGTCTGCCACTGTTATATGGGTGCTGCTTGGTGCATTGACTTGGAGAACTTTACTTTTCTTCTCTGTGGATGTTCAACCCAGGCATCTAAAAAAAATTAGCAACACTGTTGGTTTTATCTTGCAATTGCTGATGTGTGTGAGAAAGAAGGACCATGCCGTCAACAAACTACAGGCCATCCAGCTAGTTCCGTGGTGTCCACTGTATACCATTTCGTATTTTCTCTGTTGACATTTTCATAATCCAGTCAATAGCCAGCAGGAACAGGAATGGTAAAAGTAGGCAACCCTGCCTGACTCCAGTCCATGCAGGTAAGGCCTCCTTAGTCTTCTGGCCATACACTACTCTACATTTCAGACCATCATATGAAGTAATTACAATGTTGACTATTTTCTGTGGCACCCCATAGTGCCTCCACAATTTCCACATTGACTTTCTATCCAGGCTTTAAAGGCCTTCTCGTAAGCTTTGAAATTGATGCAGAAAGAATCCCATGATGGTGCGCAGGGTATTACATTTGGTCTATGCACGATCTTTTCTTCCTATAGCCCACCTGCTGATCTCGAAACTGGGTGTGTACCACTGCCTTCATCCTGTTAAATAATATTCTGTTGAAGACTTTGCCAGGGATTGACTAAACTGTTATCCCTCTGTAGTTAGAGCATGAACTAAGATCTTTCTTTTGAAGTTTTATGAGTAGTCCCTCCTACCACTCCTCTGGTATTTGTTCATCTTCCCACATTTAATTGAAGAGTGTATGTAGTAGTGCGGTGCTAGTTTCGATATCTGCTGTCAGTGCTTCTGATGGTATACCATCTATTCCTAACCCTAACCCTAACCCTAACCCTAGGGTTAGCCCATCTCTTCCTCTGTCCTTCCGCATCAGATATTACCTTTCCATCTTTGATCTTCACTGGCCTCTGTGGCACATTGAACTTCCAAGATATCTTCTTAATTGTATTTAAAGGTCCCTAATATTCTTATGGTAAAGTGCTTCTACTGCTTTATCTGCCAGCAATTCTATAAAATTCAGTTAGTCTTTCCTTAATATTTCTTGATGTTTTTGTTTGTTTCAGTATATTCTTCCAGGGCTTTTAATTTAGCAGCCCGTGTACGACTGTTGATTATGTTGCATTCTTCTTCTTTCTTTCCTCAATCATTTTCAGAGTGTCTGCTGAAACCCATTCCTTATTTCGGTATGGACAGGTCCTGGTCGTTATTGATTCTGTCGACCTCAGTTTTAATTCTCTTTATTTGAAGTTCTGCTTTACGGGCTTCTTCTAATCATCGGTTCAGTTAGGTTAGAGCATGTTGTTTGTGTGAAAGTAGGCAGAAATAATCTGCTAAATCAACATCTTCCAGCGTTTGCACTGAATTCCTGTGTCATTGTTTGTAGTCTTCTGCATGATCTAGTATATTTCCATCAAGAACATCATTGGCGGGAGCATGCATTCCTTTCATAATACTGATTTTTTAAATTATTTTTTAACTGTGAATGGATTTATCAGTTCCTGTAAAGTGCAGTCCTTATATAGTTTGTGTGTGTGTATATACTATTATGTCTCAATAGCTTCCAGATAACAACTCTATTCACACTAACATATGCCTTTTCGAAGTCTACAAAAATCATGTATACGAGAAATTGTCATTCTATGGACTCAACAATGATACATAGCGAAGTAATGTAGTTGGTGCATGACCTTTCTTGTCAAAAACCTGTTTATTGTCGTCCGAATGATTTTAATGTTCTTGCTTGGTTCTGGTTACTTCATAATCTTTGTATGTTTCTTTGCCCTGCTGCAGTTTCTGCCTCCACAGTCATCTATTGGATGAACTGTCGTGTGTGCTTTTCTGCACTTGTCTTCACTATGCGATTTTGTTGTTTATTTTCTCATCGTCATTCGTTCACCTATCTTTTATCTTGGCTCATGTCTCGTGATGCATTATTTTTGTTTACTTTTCTTCTTCCAAATTAGTCGGTGCACGCTGACATCCAAAGTTTCTGTATTCCTAGTCATTGGTGCTCTACTGTTTTTTTCTACCAGACTAGAAAGTGTTTCATACCTTTTATTTTTACCACGCAGTTAAACTCATTGTTTACTGTTGGGCTTTTTAACTTTCTGATGTTAAACTTAAATAAACCGGGAGTGATCTCCCCTAAACTTTCTTGAATATTCTTATATAACACTACGGGGGATGATAACTCGGGATATAGACATGATTTTTAATCCATTTTTTAATTACTTAAACTTTTAAAAGTAGAATAGAATCTCGTAGAAAAAAGAATTGCGCACCAAGTGAACGCCAAATAATCTGTGTATAATAGTGCGGAATATTATTAGCACTTTATAAATTTTTTTAGAAATCGGAAATAGCGTAAATTACTACTTCCGGTCAACGGAAATTACTCAAAATTTGACAGAACGCAGAAAATTAGATCTTTTACTTACGTGTGAAATTTCAATTATCGATCTAAAACAGTACTCAAGTTATCGGCTTTCGAAAAATAAATTGAAAGTTGAATAAGTTCCACTTCCGGTTAACAGAAATCGCTGATAAAATAATACAGAACGACAAATTTGATATAATAGTTATATATGAAATTTCATCACCCTCGCTGTAACGGTACTCAAGTTATCGTGTTCACAGACACACATACACACACACATACACACACATAGACAAGATTGCAAAACTATGTTTTTCCGACTCAGGGAGTTGTAAAATGTCGAGATTTGTAAAAATCTTGGGTTGTTTTTGTTGTTTTTTTTGCACGATTACACGACTTTTTCTATACTTCGTATACGAGAAAGTAAAAAAAGGAAATTACATTTGATTTTCAATGCAATTCATTGAGTATAAAATATTTCATCGCGTTCTCTCTGAATTAGAATTGTGCCCAGTTCTCCCTTGCTGCCTAGTTTTTGTGAAACTGTCGTTTAATATTGGAGACGATAGGTGATGGAGGGGGTGGATGGGACGAAAAGTGGGTGGGTGGGGTGGCGTAGGGTTGAGAGGCTTGAGGATCTCTTACAGGAATAGATAGTATAATGCCTAAGGTTAGGGTTAGGGTTAGATAGTATAATGCCTAGTATGGGTGAAATACATGTTTATTTTTGTTATGTGCCACATAACCTTTGAATAAAAAATATTGACTTCTTATCCACAGATGGTATCACATGTTCACAGTGATGCCATATATGAGAATGAAGAATTGGACCACAATGATGCCATATACCAGAATGAAGAATTGGGCCACAGAATGAGCAACCCTATAGACATGCCAGATTTCTTGTGTGTTAAAAAAGACACCGATTTCAATGATTTGTTAAACACTTTACAAGCATGCTCAATTTATGATGAATTAAGCAATCAAACACAAGAGTTGTATGAAATGCCAGGTGTCAGTTATAATAAATCTCAAGAAAACGAAGGGTCCAACAACATCTACGAATGCATCGATCGAGACAACTTTAGAAAGACCAATATCAAGATGGCAGCACCTGTCTCAGGTCAAGAGAAGCACAAAGTTGATGGCTACCATTATAGTGTCAATAATGACGAGTATGCCATTGTGCAGAAATACAGAAAAAAGTTGCCTGACCATATAAGTAATGGATTTCAGTCAAATACATTAGAACATAACAGCTCAATGGCTTTAGGTCATTACGAAAAATTAGCAGATTCCAAGAGATAGCTAAGGAGAAATCAACAAATCCCACGAGACGGTTTAATAATAACGAGCCGGCCCGCGGCATAACATACGCCGCTATTTAGTTGTTTCTAATTTTCAATAATTCATAATTTGTGAATTCGACAGTACCAACGCTGACACTGAAAATATTTCTTTAAAACACTATAATATATAACCCCCCCCCCCCCTTCCTTCCCTCCCCCCCTCCTCCTCCCCCCCCCTACGTTTAAAATCGTTGGCTCTGCTTGTAAACATTTAGAGTGAACACAGCTCACTAAAACCATGTAGGGGTGGGGAGGTAGGGAGAGCGTTAGCAGCTTGTTTTCTAACGGCTCGAAGAAGAGAATTATATATATAGATTAACAGACTCCATGAAATGGCTTGACAAAAAGTTAGCGAATTCCATGAGATTAACTAGCATATTTACTTAAATGGTTTCGCGAAAGATTAGCAGATCCCATGACACGACAACGATAATTTAGCAGGTTTCAAGAAATAAGTTCCAATAAATTCTTCTAATTTATAGTTAAATAAATAGCATTTCATCTGTTGTACTGATTTTGGCATGGCAACCATAATCTCAGCAAACTTGCCGAAAAAATAAACAGCTGTTTTAGCTTTTAGTGTCTACCTCCCACTTTTAAAGGCTAGTTTTGAAAAGGTTTAATGTCAGCTTGTGAGATGACAGGCGATCACTAATCTTTGGATACTTTCCAAACAACAGTCCTGCGCCGCATTCACAACGACGAGTATTCAATCTGTTATGTACTCAAAGTAACCGAAAAACATTTACTAATTTTTAAACTGCAACAGGCTTTGTTATATTAGAAATAGTGTTAAGTTTAGCATTGGTTAGTACTAGTACAGCTATTAAGTACAGGGTAACTTTTTTTTTCGCAAAACATTAGAATAGTTAGGCAGAATGCCTTATATATATAATTAAATGAAAGTATGTTTGTGCATTTCTCTGTATTTTATGCATTACTACATTTCACCGGATCGCTACGAAACAGGAAAGTTGTTGAAAATTTTCCAAAGAAGGCTTAGGGTTCTGTGATTTGAAAATTTTCCAAAGAAGGCTTAGGGTTCTGTGATTTGAAAATTTTCCAAAGAAGGCTTAGGGTTCTGTCATTTGAAAATTTTCCAAAGAAGGCTTAGGGTTCTGTGATTTGAAAATTTTCCAAAGAAGGCTTAGGGTTAGGGTTATGGTAAGGGTTAGGGTTAGGGTTAGGCTTAGGGCTCTGTGATTTGAAAATTTCAATTTTGGAGCTCAGTGTTCACCAGTCTCTATCTACTAACAACTGGGATCCGTTAACTGGACGTCATGCACAGGAGTCAATAGCCGGCGCTCGGGTGGTCGTGTGACTCGGTTCGTTCCGGCCTGCTTCATGAGCACTATGGTGCCTACATTCGTTTTAGATAGCGCCATACAGTAGGGCAGAAATTTGACCAGACCATGGTGCTTAAGCTCTTTACATCTTGCTATTTTTTTCGCATAGACCTTAATAATAATAATTTATTCGGTCGTACAGTAAATTTGTCGGTCAGCCTCTACGCGTTCGCATAGGTGTGAAAAAGGACAGTAAATGACCATCTTTTTTTTATATCAGCCTATACATTTTTCAAAATTTCTTCTCGACGACTCCCCCCCCCCCATTTATATTTCATCAGGTTTTTCATATGTGAAAATTGTCCTTCAGACGCTTCGAACTCGAAAGTCCGTTAAATCTGTATACGGACTGCGCCATTGGGCTTTGTTATAAGATAAATAAACAACTTTTTTCAAGATCGGTGCGTTTTGTTTTGGTGTATATTTCAGTAACATTTTAATCATATTCTATTGTATTACAACGTTTTAGCAAAAAGAATTGTGCACCAAAATGAACATAACAATATTGTTGTGAACGCACGGACATGCTTTACGGGTGATCCGATGCGTAGCGCAACATATAAGACAAACAACCGCAAGGGTTAGGGTTATCTAACACAGTCTATTCTAAACACAAAACACACAAGCTAATAAAACTATGATATAGTGGCTAAAAACTAGTATAGACCTAACCTTGGAGATCTGGACGAAACTAAGGCCATCACACACGTTTTCATACACCTTATACACCCTTTCATAAACTGGTACCAACCGGACTATTACAACTCACCGCACGTGAACTGAACAAGGACGAACGGGATAGGGTACCAAGTACAAACAACATTCACCCCCATTCATCCCCTTCACTCGTTCACTACAAATATGAATATAATAGCGCGGAAAAAATTAGTACTTTTGATAGTAAATTATTAAAAACTGAATCATCAAATTAAGTCAGATTCATTGGTTGCTCGTCAGTTTCCACCAATGATAGAAGGACAAAGACAAACGGGGAGCAAGTTAAATAAAAGCTTGTCATAAAAACAGGATATGACTTTTCACCCGTATTGACCTACCAGCAGAATTTTGACTAGAAGAGGAATAGTTTAACGAAAAAATATTAATGCTTATTATTCCCGGAAACATTTTAGTCTTAAAATATATTTAGTTTATAGTCTGAAGTTAAAGGGAATAAACGCACACGTATATTAGCTTTTGGCAAAGGTAGACATGATCCACGAGGCGTCTTGCAGTTGTAATGAACCTAATGAAATGTATGTCAAGAAGTAAGTTTTCCAATCTGCAATAGAATCTGCTCGCATAGGCATAAAATTTCACAGAAAAAAATCATTAACAACCATCTTGACAACCAGTAACCGGTCGTCAGCCTCCTGATCCTGATTTTGGCCGATAGCTACATGTTGTTTTACTAACTGGCTGACCAAGTTACAAATTTAAGAAAAGAATCGGTGTAATAGATTGAAACACTGACGACAGAAACCATGCTGTTTGTATATAGATCTTTAATCAGCCACCATCAGCTAACATGACGGAAACAGGAAGAGGAAGTGAGATGACAATAACATATATATTAACAAGGGACATCACTCAAAATAACATTATAAATATAAGACTAATACAAGAAGAGTGAGTTCCCTTGACTTCACAATTCTCAATATATTACATCCCTTTACCCTTAGTAAACAACAACACAGCTCTCAACAGAACAAATTATTGTATCTTAAAATCACTAAATATATTGTAACATGCCTTATATGATTTGAATCATTTGGTAGATTACACCCTTACAAACAAATGCACAAAATGCCACAACATAATTAAGATACAAAACAATGATGTCAAAGTCCTTTTGACCTTTAAAATCATAGGTCTAACTTATCTGGGACTTTGATTGTCCTGTTTGACCTTCTCAGTGGCTTTTGATTTGGTGACTCAAGATTCTGACCATCTGGATTCTCTAGCTCAGGAAGTCTAGGATCCAAATCATTAATTCCAGAATTTATATTTTCTGACTCTAGACTACGTGGTTCACTCATATCAACAGAACTTGGTTGTGGAACAAACTGAGTTGGTGTGAACTGTTCAGATTTGGTGGGATTGACAGATTCACACTTATTATCTGCACAAGTTATTTTTAACTGGTCTGCATGTCTACGGACAATAAGTCCATTATTTGTTTTTACTTTATAAGACACAGGTCATGTACATTGAACAATTTGACCTGGCATCCATTTTTCCCCTCTCCCATAATTTCTCAGATACACATTATCATTAACACCAAATTCTCTTTCAATGGATGTTTTGTCATGATTTAATTTTTGTGTATGTTGATGTTGGGAAACAGAACTTTGAACAGTTGGATGTAGTAGGTCAAGGTGAGTTTTAATTTTCCTACCACATAGCAATTCGCATGGTGCAACACCTGTTGTTATATGAGTTTTGCGGTATTTGGCTAAGAACCTGTTTACTCTTTCATGGTCACATTTAGCTTCATCTGTTTGGTATTTACTTTTGATTTCCAAATACCTAGAAGTTTCAGAAGTATTTGGCTTGTTAATTAATTTTTCAGGTTTATCCTGGGATGTTTTTTTCTGAAATAATGGAACTATTTTTGAAGTGGCATCTGAAAATATTATGCTATTATTCAGATCCTTAACTGACATAGATTTCTTTGATTGATCAATTTTCTCAGGTAATCTGATAGTGCTTTTTGGTAACCAAAAATACTGTTTAAAAGTAATATCCTGGACCATATCAATTTGCAACTGTGATCCAGTATTTGAAGTGGGTGTATTAAATGGCAAAAATCTTTTTTCTTTTGATGTTACCCTTTTAGTTTCTGTAAGTGCTAATGATGTTAGCAAAGTTGTTTGATGATCACATTCCTTCTTATTTAATGTATTCTCTTTTAAAGCATTTGAAATTGCCATACCACCATAATCATTTATCAAGTTTCAAATACTTTGTTTAGGCATCTCTGACTGATGATGGACTGCATCTTCTCCATCTTCTAGACTTAACTCCATTTTTCTTATTTTATATGGCCTTAAGTCATCATTCACAGACTCTTCAGGCCAACCATTCTTACAGTACTCATCTTTTTGTGTTTCTCTTTTAAAATCATTCACATTTATATTGGAGTTATCCATGATAGTGAAAAGAACAAATACATCTTCTGGTACACAACTAAGGCTTTGGTTTTTTAAAGGTAAATGACTAAGACTATCTGCACTATTCTCAGATCCAGGTTTGTATTTCAATTCATAATTGTATGCGGCTAGTGTGATAGCCTATCTTTGAATCCTTGGTGAGGCATGCTCAGGCAGGGGTTTGTTTTCCCCAAATAAACCTAGCAATGGTTTATGATCTGTAAAGATGGTGGACTCCCTACCAAACAGAAACTTATGAAATTTCTTAACACCAAAAATGATGCCTAAGCCTTCCCTATCTAGCTGAGAGTAATTTTTCTCAGCCTGGTTCAAAGATTCACTGGCAAAAGCAATGGGTCTGTCACCATTTTCATCTATGTGTGATAAAACTGCTCCTACACCATCTGGTGAAGCATCACATGTTAAGATAAGTCTTTTCCCTGGGTCATAGTGAGTTAGTAAGGTGTCAGACGACAAAACTTCTTTTGCTGCATTAAAAGCAGCATCTTGTTGTTTACCCCAGTGCCAAGTTGCATTTTTCTGCAGCAGCTTGTACAGTGGTGATAGTTTACCAGACAGATTCCCTATGAACTTCGCATAGTAATTTATCAA